CAGTGGTTTGAACAAAAATGGTCCCCATAAGCTCACAGGGAGTGGCACTATTAGGAGGTATGGACTTGGAGGAAGTATGTCACTGGGAATGGGTTTTGAGGTTTCAAGTGCTCAAGGTAGGCCCAGTAACTCTTTCTTCTTGCTTCCTGCTGATCCAGACTTAGAACTCTTTGCTACCTCTCCAGCACCATGTCTGACTACATGCCACCATGCTTCCCGCTATGACCATAATGAACTAAACCTCTGAACTGTAAGCCAGCCCAATTAAATGGTTTTCTTTATAAGAGTTACTGTGGCCATGGTGTCTCTTCAGAGCAATAAAACCCTGATGATGTCCTTTTGTATGTGTTTCTCTTATTGGTTGATAAATAAAACACTGTTGGGCCAATGACCAATGAGCCAGTAAGATAAATGGGACTAGGAGAGGAGGAAAAGTCTGGGAAAAGTAGGCAAGAGAGTCCTCCAGAACAGTCTCGATGTAGCAGGCAAAGGAGTTGCAGGTCCGGCATTCTCCAGTAAGCCAAGACCCTGTGGATAGATTACTAGTTATGGGTTAATAATTAGACAGAGCTAACCAATAGAATCCCTAGTTACCAGCCAACAATTTTGTAATTAATATAGCATCTGTGTGCTTCTTTGGGGCTGAGAAGGGCAGCAGGACGAGCCGGGACAAAGAACCTCACATAACAAAACCTTAACTAAGACACCTAGCCATCAACAACAGAGTTGGGCTGAACCCCAATTTCTCTACTCATTTGCTGCAGGTAGTAAGGAGAGATTATAAACCAATCTATAAGCACAGGGTTAGGAATACACATTTGGGGAATGGAATGCAGCCAGAAGCTGGGTTGAGGGATTACTTTACATCATCTGCCTTTTACCAACATTGGAACATACTCCAGACACACCATACCTCCCCCAGGGCTGCTGCAGCTGAACACATCCCATTTTTCTATCCACCTATCCCGGTGCTTTGAGCTCCCTTTCCCCCAGGAAGTCTTCAGGCTCCAAGTAGGGCTGAAGCTTCCCTCTGCCAGGCACAAGTCACAGGACAGTGTGGTTACTCATTAACTTGTCTGTCAGTTTCCTAGTCTGAGGATTCTCTGGGCAGGCACCGCAGGAGTCCTGCACTGACAACCCACACTCAGCTCTTTCTCAGATCTATCCCAGAATAAGGTTGGAGGGAAGTAAAGATAACTAACTGAGGGACAGGATGAACATGGCATTGGGAAATGCCTCAGAGACTGTCGGGTGTGACGCTTCACAGTAGAGTCCGACCCCACCTAGACTGCTGACTTTGCCAGCCCTCAGTGAAGAAGAGAGTAGGTGAGGTCTTGCTTTCTGGAGGCCTTGAAGGCACTGGGTGACTGAAAGATAGTTTACATGTTCTGCCTTCTCCATAACGATGCAGGACTTCTCTGAAGTGCTGCCCTGAATCCGTAGGGCGATGTGTTGTGTGAAAGCAAAGTGATGTGAGAAGTTTCCCACTTCTCCACCCCACGGACATATGTACCTATTGGTAAAGGACCGTCATACTCCTCCAGGGACTGTGAAGGGCCTGGGGCAAGGAGGAGCTCAGGAAAGCCAGTTCACCATCCGACGTGCTGCCTCCTAAATGGTGGCACTGACTACCCAGGTCAGCAGGTCATGTGAGCTCTGGTGTTTGCCAGATGTGATTGAAGCCCTTTTGACAGTCACTGGACTGTCACTAGACTGTGACAGAGGGGAAAGCCAATGATGATAGTGTCTGGTTATCAAACAGGCCAGATATTGCTCAAGACACATGCTACTTGATGGCAAAAATCTACCTTGCTCACCCCAATTAATTGATATCTAGATTTAGATAATGAAGTCGAAAAAAAACCTCTGCAAGTTTAGCTTAAGCATGTCTAGCCATCAAGCTTGCGAGTTCCAAGGTGTGCAGACAAAGTAATTCTGGACCATGCAGAGACTGCCCCACCAATACTGGGCGGCTCTAAACTGAACCCAGGAAACAACAAACCAAGTTCCTGGTTTTGTTTTGCAGTCTTTAAAACTGTTATTGGGGCTGGCCCCAAATTCCTGAGCCTCCAGGACCAGTCTCCTGAGCGATGGGATCACAATTTTAAGCCACCATACCTCGCTGGCCCTGCTGTGGGCTGGGGATGTAGTTGAGCTGGTAGAGTGCTTGTTTAGCCTACGTGAAACCCCTGGCTTCAATCACCATCAGCACAAAATCTGATGTGACAGTATACAGCTGTAATCCCAGCACTTGGGAGGTAGAGGCCAGAAGGATCAGGAGTACAGGGTCATCCTTTACTAGGGGCACTCATGCTAAAGCTCTGGGTTTGATTTCATTTTCCTCAGATGCTTGTAGAACCAGTAGCTGCCCTGGTTAATGCTTCAAGCCATCTCACGCTTGGTGGGAAACATAGCTCTCTTGGCCTCCTCTTTGCCTTCTTTCCCACGGTCTTGTTGCGTAGGGAAAGGACTTTGGGTCATCTAAACAAGGTCACTGTGAACGTTAAACGATAAGGTGGGGCGGGAGAGATGACTCAGAGGTTAAGAGCACCGACTGCTCTTCCAGAGGTCCTGAGTTCAATTCCCAGCAACCACATGGTGGCTCACAACCATCCATTATGAGATCTGGTGCAATTTTCTGGTGTGCAGATATACATGGAAGCAGGATGTTGTATACATAATAAATAAATAAATTCTTTAAAAGAAGATAAGGTGATAAATTCTCACAATTCTATTTCTGCCTTCAAGCTTTCTTCCCTAGTAGCTGCTGAGTCAGTATTGTCATGTGGCTAGGCCCACACTAGCTAAGGCAGCAGTCCTCAGCCTTCCTAAAGCTGCAGCCCATGGTGGATGCAGACATCCACCATGCTGTGGTGATCCCCAACCAGAAAATTATTTTCATTGCTACTTAATAACTGTAATTTTGCTACTGTTAGGAATCATAAATATCTGTGTTTCCCAATCGATGTTTGTAGGTGACCCTGTGAAAGGATCGTTCAACCCCCAAGGGGGTCATGACCCACAGATTGAGAACCACTCAGCTAAGACATTTTAGAAAAAGCTCAATCTAGCTGGTGAAGTCCCTTGCGTATTATCAGTAATCATTAATTCGAATTGCTGAGAACCAAGACAAAAGAAATTTTGTCATGGGATTCAGAAACACAGATTACTGTCTCTTCCCTTCTCGATAACTAATTAATTGAACCTTCCATCAAACCACCATCCCGATGTTGATAAGAGTGAAGACAGTTCTCTGGGATGGGGAGCAGTGATGAACAACATGGAAACATGCCCATTCCGCCAAAGGCACGCTGGCCTCACTGTGCTGGACTGAATTACTGCTAAGAGTGTGCAAACTATTTCAGCTTCAGCCATTAACCAGTGTCAGGGATGATCTGAGATCTACCCAATGTTCTAGTACAGGACTCTACCAATTTCAGCTATTGTGTGTGTGCATAAGCCCAAGTCCTTAGGAGACTAGATCATGAGTGAGTTCCAGACATCCATTTATACTGGCAGATTTCAGTTTACCTTGATCTAACTCAAACTGTGCCTGATTCTTCCCTTTGGAATAAGAAAGCATGTACCTTTTTTTTTTTTTTTTTAAACAGGAGCCCACAGTTGAGAGTCTTTGGATATTTTAAAGAGCTGGAGATGTCAAAGTATTTGAATATTTTAAAGATGGTGGGACTTTTAAAATTATTCTGTTATATATTATGACATTTACAAGGTCTTGGTGACAAACAAGAGGGACAACATTGGTTTAATAGTGGTGTATTTGTGTCAAGAATAAGGGATCAATTGTGCTGGTTAGGTTGCTGCATTTTGACACAGGTAAGAGTCATCTGGAAAGAACAATGTAACACGAATACATAAAAGACCCAGAGACTGATATTGGGGTTCAAGCTTCAAGTTGAAGATCAGGAAAGCAAAGCAGCTGGCCACTAACTTACCTCTACCTCAGGCTGAAAGGGTTGATCCTGTCTCCAAGAGCTCTTCACCCACCAAGTCTCATACTGCTGCCTCTCCTCAGTGTGGCTACAGAACAAATGCCTCTCTGAGACCTTGCTTCTGTCTTATATACTTCCCTAATGTTGGGATTAAAGGTGTGAGCTATAAATCTCTTTTAGACTGATTCACTCTTGTGTAGATCTGGGTGGTCTTGGACTCACAGAGATCCATCTACCTCTTAATTCTGAGTCCTAGGATGAAAGGTGTGTACCACCACCTCCTAGCTTCTGACTGCTGGGATTAAAGGTGTATGCCTGGCTTTTATGGGCTGTGGCTGACTTTGCTTTCTGGATCCTCAGGCAAGCTTTAATAAATCATAAACAGTATATCACCACAGATGGAACCTTGACTGAGAAAAATGCCTCCACAAGATTGGCCAGTGGGCAAGTCCATGAGGCACTTTCTTGACGATCAATGGGGAGAGGGAACAACCCACTGTGGTTGGGGCCACCCTCAGGCAGGTGGTCCTGAGTTATAAATCAATGCAGGACAAGCAGAGCAAGCCAATAAGCAATGTTCCTCCATGGTCTCTGCTTCAGTTCCCACCTCTAGGTTCCTGACCTAGGTTCATTGCAAGGAGTCAAGTAAACCCTTTCCTCCCCAAGTTGTTTCTGGTCATGGTGTTTTATCACAGCCATAGAAAGCAAAGTAGGGTGTGTGTGTGTGTGTGTGTGTGTGTGTGTGTGTGTGTACATTTTAAAAGAAATCAGTTCTGAATCGGCATCTCACTACACAGACCAGGCCAACCTAATACTAGTACCCACTCTGTAGCAGCCTCTTGTCCCATGCCCATTCCACCCACTAGACTGTATTTTTAAAGATACAATAGTAAATATTTTAGGATTGTGGCCCATGTGGTTTCTGTCACAATTACTCAGCTTTTTGTGAAAGTCTCCATAGACAGTTTGTAAGCATGGCTACGTGGGTATAACTGCATTCCAATAAAATTTCATTTACAAAGAGTCATGTGTGAGACACATAATAAAGAAGAATGATAAAAGACTGACAGGAATTTAATGACAAATATCCCATATTCATTGCTGAACACCAAGATGCTGACCAAGGAACCATCATTAAATAAAACAACCTGAAAAGAAGGCAATTCTCACATCCACAAGCACACTCACAGAATCAGGTACTATTAGGATCATTAAATTACTTACTACGTTAACAAACAGATGTAAAATAGCACTACAATGAAAAGTGTGCACAAACTTCAGAAACACAGTTCAGATTGTCTGTGAACATTTTTTTAAAGTTTTACTTTTCACATATATACAGCCTCTGGACTGACCACGTGGCTCAAAGGGCTAACTGCTTATATTCCTCCACTTCAGAACTAAGTCATTTAAGCCCATAAACTTGGGCGAGTTTGGCTTAGTAAAGGACAGCAAAGAAAGCCTGCTTTTGACGGAATGCCCCAGGAAATAAATAGTACAAAGGCCTCCAACATCAGTAATGAGTTGGAGAGAGGGAACTTTTAACATCTCAAGCATGAACCACAGTCACCAGGGTATCCTGAAGAAACGCTATTATTCTAAGACAGAAGACTAGAAATAACCACCTGGGTGTTCGGACTCTCACTTAATGTGGGCAGACATGTTCCCTGAAGATTCGAGAGAAATGGAATCACATTTTAAATACACCACGAGAGCAGTGCATTGCTGGCTGAACAGTTTCTCCCGCTGAGGAGTTTGCTGAGCAAACATGGTAGCTGATTCTCTGATCTGTGGCAATAGAAAGGACAGAAGTCCAAAGATGTCTACTGCCATTATCCACACCAGCTTTCGTATCCACTCCCCACTGAGCCCACTCACTAAAGCTGCTGATATGTAACACATTTGATAACGGCTATACTGTGTGCAATCATAACGACAAAGTCAAAAAAGAAAACAAAGCCCCTAAGTGGCTAAAAATATATGTAAAGAATAGAAAGTGGGATGAGATTTCACTGGCACACACTTGAGAGAACCTAAAACAGCCAGAAGAGGTAGATGTGTATTTAAAAAAAAATAACAATAATAAGCCAGTCATAATGGCACCTGTCTGTAATCGCAGCACTTGGGAGACAGAGGCAGGTGGATCTCTGTGAATCCACAACTAGCCTAGTCTACAGAGTGAGTTCCAGAACAGCCAGGGCTATGCAGACCCTGTCTCAAAAGAGAAAAAAAAAAGAAAAAAATTAAAGATTACTTTCAAATTGGCTGTATTGTTTTAAGTAGATCTCATAAATGTGGCATTCAGACTGCAAAAGTCAGAATAAATAATGAGACTTTGCACATGTTACTACTCACAAAAAAAAAAAAAACCTGGAAGAGAATTAGAGTTTTACAAAACTGTCCCTGGTGTGAGAGTCTGTTCCATCTGTGAACAATAAACAGATTTAGTGGACAAGATCAGCAGGCAATACGCAAGCCCGAATGTTCTTCTGATTTTTTTTTAAGTGTTCCTAGAATGACAAAAAACATGCTTTCCTACAGCCTTCAAAGATCATTACTAAAATACAAATGATCAAGTATAAATAACTAGCATTCACAGAAACTTCACTAAAACCATAAAAACAATCGCATAGGTTTTCCCCCTTCAACTGTGTCCAACAGTTTGAGGCTCCCATGAAAGTCTAGGGTAACAAGCTGCAGTGAGGAAAACCACTGCCTGCCATGTCGCTAACTTCTACAGACTAATCTAGGGGAGGGATTTGCAGTGTAACCAAAATCTATACAAGTCATTTGATTATAGCCCCCTACTAGAAATAGAACATAGTGAGGACACTAGAATCAGGTGACAAAGGCCAGCTTTGTCAATAAGGACATCTTTGGTCCTTCTAGGCTTTATGTCTTCCATCAAGCACAAGAATGCTTAGTGTTCTTACTGTATTATATAAATGAGAACGTAACTCATTCTAGCAACTGAGCTGGAGAACTCGAAAGGTCAGGCTCCACCATCCACAGTTGGTCCTCAGCCTTCCTTCAAGAGACCTGCCACACTCCTACAGGAGACCTTTCCCCAAGACATAGTTTGTAATACTGATTTACCTCGTGAGCATGTGAGAAACACTAGCAATTATTAGAAAGCATAAAACACTTTGTAAATACAAAAGTGCTATTTTGGCATCTGTGTAACTAGAAAACATTCATTATTTGTGCTATTTGGCAATTTTGCATTCCCACCTCTCCCTGACTGTACCCTCTGTGTGTAAATCTGTGCCTCTCAGATGTGGGGGGAGTGGGGAGAAACCCCTGTCTGGATTAGATTCCTCATTAATTTGTGCGGACGTTGGGGTTCATGGGGTCAGGGCACACACATGCAAATGAAGGCATGCCATCCTGTGAACTCAGCTTTCCTGCATTTTCCACATGAAGCCAGCAAAGCTGAGTTGGTTGACTTTAGGGAACACGGTGGTCTTCAGTTCTCCTGAAACATAACATACTAAGCCGGACTAAGACCAGGCAAGTACCCACTTACACATGGGTCGGGGTCACCCATCCACCTAAGCAACCCTGACCCAACATGAAGAACCAAGGGCAGGATTTCCTAGAAAATCTGGGAGCCAGTTGTTAGTGGATTTCTGAACCCAAGGTGCCCCCTTGAAGTAACTGTGCAGGTTTTCTGCCAATTTCCCCTGGATGTCTCAAAATAGCAGCTAATTGTGACTCATAGGAAGGGAAGTTGATACCGAGCACCCTTTTCTATAGGAATGAGAAGGGTCTGACTAAAGCTGGTATGAGAGGTGTCACAGACTTACTCCTACCCGCGTTTTATTGTACCCCCATAACTCTAAACCACCTCTCCCGGTTCCCAAAAGCATAGCAGCCCAAACCTCTCTACCCAGTGTCAAATCCTCTTCCTCGGGGATCCTCCAAGCGTCTGTTCACCCAAACTCGTCACTGCTTACAGTGTGTATTTAAACCATCAACTCAAGCACATCTCCCAAGAGTTACTTCCATAGAGGAGGTAGGCACCTCGCAATAACAAACTCTTATTAACCGTCATCTTGGGAGGGGCAAGCATTAAAAAGCTCCCCCCCCATACACTCTCAGGCCATCCCTCCCGCCCTTTCCCCCACATCTACAGAATCAGTAACCAAGCCGTCTACTCCCAGCGATGCCTCATTCTAACCCCCGCCCTAGCACAGGTGCAACTTTTGGTGCTGTGCAAGGTGCGTCTTGTAGCGGAAGCCCTTGCCGCAGCCCGTGCACTTGTGAGGCTTGTTGCCCGTGTGGATGCGGCGGTGGCGGATGAGGTGGGAGCTCTGGATGAAGCTCTTGCCGCACTCGATACACGTGTAGGGCTTCTCGCCCGTGTGCGTGCGCTGGTGCTGCGTGAGCGTGGAGAAGTCGCTGAAGCGCTTCTCGCACTGGCCGCAGCGGAAGGGCTTCTCGCCCGTGTGCACGCGCAGGTGGTTGACGAGGTGCGAGTTGCGGCCGAAGCCCTTGCCGCACTCGCGGCACACGTAGGGCCGCTCGCCCGAGTGCGTGCGCTTGTGCGTGAAGAGGTGCGAGCTCACGCTGAAGGTCTCGCCGCACTCGGAGCACATGTAGGGCTTCTCGCCCGTGTGCACGCGCTGG